GGTTATGAATCCTGCATACCATAGATAAGCTGTCAAAAGACACAATTAACAAGCAGGCATTACCCTAAGAAGGATTAAACAGTATTTAAGTGAGCAATACTGCAACCTTAAATTTTTATTTTAAGTTGGAATTTCCATCTACCATAATGTATTTTGTAAGTATTTAAAAGGGTTTGTTACTTTTGGCATTCTTGGATTTTAAGTTTCAACGACACTGAGGTCATGTGAAAACATTCCTGCTTTAGTGTAAAGAAAGACCCCAGATACCCTTTGTGAAACATTTCAGACATGAGCGGGCACCTGACTAGTACCACCAACCTTCCGTAAATAAGCTTGATAGATTTCTCACATACAAAGAATCCCAAAAAATAGAGAAAAACAGAATCTCTAAAGAAAGTCCAACACCCCAAAATTGAAAATGTTGCAGGCTTGGTTTGATTGAGCCTGTTCTTGGACGGTACTGGAAAGTGCATGTCGTGCTGAACGATCTTCAAGGATCGAAAATATAACATCATTAATTAAACGTACGGGGAGACTTTGTACAGCCGCCACACGGCACAAATAACACGGATGTGACAATTAAATGGAGAAAAACAGAATCCCAACGATTGGATTTCAACTACAGCAGTAAATGAAAGATGATTTGAAGTCGACCGCCTTATCCCGACTATTATGTACCTCCATCAGGCTCACTAGAGAATATATTGTAATTGTCTGACCTTAATTTATACTCTATAACTTTCAATATTATTTTCTTTTTCAGAAACATGAAAACTGCTATACAGGATGTCTGAAATAAATAAAAAACGACTTTTAATTTAATAATGACAAAATAATCGTAACTTCAACAAAGAAGCATTCGAAATGACGCCATGATCATGGATTTGATTTGAATGCTTTTGGTTCGAGATGAAAAGGGTCTTTAAACATAGCCTTTTTTCAAAATCTATGTTATGGGTTTTCGTATCCCCGATTGCAACCGAAACCATTTGAACAACTTAATGGGTAGAAAGTCATGTAAATTTCATCATATTTAGTCAAGTAGTTACTGAGCGGATGAGATTGCACACACATATGTACGACAGACGGACGAATAACCATCGGGCCAATAAGCTCACAGAGATTTAAAAGTCTATGTAACATTCATACATTTTACCTAATATATTTAGAAAATATCGAAGTCTAAACTGTAACCGAAATCTGGGTATAAACTGTAACAAAATTGGATACAAATCGCTAGGTCTATGCTGTAGCCCTGCACAAATCAACTCGCTCTATACTGTAACATTGTTTATTTTTTCAAACGCATTTAACGAACAGGAAAATAGGTTCAACTGGTCATTTACTTTTATAAACGTTTCCTAACATTAAGGACTAACGTTTTGCAGATTTACTTTTTCTAGGCATGCATAAATAATGTCGAAATTGGAGAAAAATGCGTTGGTCTCTCGATTCAAATTTACAAACAGTCAAATCTGCATATCTACGAGACAATATAGCGATAAATCTGCGGCGCAGGGTCTGAAGAAATATATGACTAGATACCGGACTCTGTTTCTTACAAGCAAAGCACAAAAACATCTTTTAGAAACTAAACGACTTGTAGTATGGACCGGAATAAAAATCGCCTACCTGTCCTCCCAACAAATAATCCTCCATCTTTAAAATTCTATACTGTAACTGGAAAACGCGATACTGTAACACGTTCCCTACGGTGTTGTATGCTGATTAGGAATATATCATTATGAATATTATACGGATAAGTAAGTAGACTTTTTTTATTTGTTATAGTAAACGGCTAACCACAAAAATTCAGATATGTATGCAATTATCATAAGTGATATATAAAACGTATTGAATTAGTAGATTTTAATGCGCTTCACAAAATTTCGGGAGTATATAGTCGCCGCTTCATCCGTCCGAGCACCTCTGCAGTTCTGTCGCGCTTTCATACTTGCATCTTCATTCATTGGTCTACCTGGTATATTTTTCATTTTTAATATGTAGATACTTTGGAAAGTCCAGTACATATCAAGGTCACCAGTGCTAAAATGCAATTATTACTCGCCACATACAGCCTTTTTTTAAATAACAGGTGCCTTCCATATTTGCTAGGAATATATCTTTGGATCGAGTTTGAGGATCATTGGGGTCAATTCTTTCTTCAAAGTCTTTATTCATTTACAGATTTCTGCATTGTTCCTCTATGTATAAGTGGAGATTAGGGGATCACTTGACTCAGTAAAGGTCGAGGTTTTACCAGTGCTAAAATAGGCTTTTACACTTTTGGTTATACAACATTTATCTTTTAATGGATTTCAGTGATATTTGGTGTGTAATAAGTTGGTAATCTACGCTTTGCTGGAGCTTTGGGTCACTTTCGTTAAGGACAAGAATTTCGGTATTTAAAATAGGTGGGGTCGATTTGGTCAAGGTCATTTGTGCTAAAAACAAATTTTTTACACGTTTGCTTTAACAGCCTTTGGTATTTAACGAATTCATTTCGCAGGGGACATATTTTGTGCAGGTCTCATTTGGTATGTTAATTTTACTTATTATTTGCTACAATTGTTATTTCTTATGATTGACTCTTAATTTGGACATAATAATCTTTTGGACAAGACCTTTAGATAGACCAAATTTGTTTTGACCTTAACTCATCGATGACCTTGACTTTGAAGGTTGAATTAATGTTTTTTTTTCTAAATTTAGCTATAATTTGCTATAACTGTAATTTATTAATGGATTACAAGATACTGGAGCACAAGACCTTGAAGAGAATGTCTTAAACAAAATTAAAATCACAATGACATTGACTCATAATGACCTTAACTTTGAAGGTAAAATTATTATAAATTTTTATTTTATGCTTTTCAGTGGATAACTGATTTATCCGTGAAAATTATATTTGATAATTTCACAGTGAAAATTATCAAAATATAATTTCACTTTTTTCAATGACGAAACTACTTTTTTAAGATTTTCCCCATGTGGTACCTCAATTTTATTTTTACCGACAATTCTGACAATGTCAGGCTGTTAAAAGAAATAGCAAAGCTGAAATAGATAAATAACTTAAATGTCAAAAGTAACACAGAGAGAAAACTTACTTCTATTCCTTCAAATTCCAATCACCAAATTTTGTCTCTAAATTTTTTTTGTTTCGTTTTTACAGTCTGAAAAATACATTCCTTCCCCATGCAAAACGGGCTATTGATGACATTTGGGCATATTAAAGTATCCTACGAGCAATAACTGCCGTATGCTTTATGAAAAATTGAAAAGCATTGACAGCCATCACTCGTAAAATAAGTTAAAACAACCCAGCGTTCCTTCAGCAAGCTTCCAATTTTTCCATTTTCCTAGCTCCTTTTCTGAATGTTTTCACTTCTGTCAACACTTATTTTTTGTCTGTTACAATCCTCAAATAAGTTTTCTTTCTTTTAAAAAGGTGTATGACTAACAAATCCAAATTATATCCTTCTGAATCTTACACAATTATTTTCCTCCCATGAAATACACAACTTTAAAAAATGGCTGCCGTTTACATTTTAGAAAGCCTGGTCTAATATAAATTCGCAGTAAGTAACAGAAATATGGATGGATGGTTGGAATTTTCTCCTGCAAGAATTGTTTGTTTTTATGATTAAAACAAGCGATCATTCATATTTTTTTAATAAAATGAATAAATATCACCGTCATTTAACCTCGATTGGCGGACTTATTTTTCAGCTCAAGACTTCTTGTTTTAAATGAGAAATTCCGTCTAAATGGGGCTCTCAATGGGGGAAACAGATTTTAATATTAACGTTAAAATTATGGAAATTTCGTTTTAACTTGTTTTTAAGCATAAAATAAAAAGAAAATTTGTCTGTTTGTTGTGTAAAATGTAATTTTATTTCATCTCGTGAACTTTAAAAACAGTATTCTCACTCGTGGCTACGCCACTCGTGAGAATACTGTTTTTAAAGCTCACTCGATGAAATAAAATTTCATCTTACACACAAACAAACAAATATCCTCTATATATTTTTTTGCCATGCATTGTAATTGGGCTTAACTTTGTAAGTAATGTGTAACTGAGGATCACCGGCAGGGCCTGCAGTTTGGGGTTATATATTAAATTAGAAATTAGACTGGCTGGCGCACTAAGCACCCTATACGGCAACCATCTGTTGTTGAGTGGGATACTGGTGTATAAGTTCCTTTTGTTTAATCAGTGACATCCAGTATTCTCTTTGTAAATGATTGTATATTACAAAACAAAGAGATCAGTGTTCATTTCATTCCTGTATTTTCACTTTGATGGAATAATGATTTTTCACAAACTTAATAATTGTCCACATATATTGTTATAAAAGCCAGCATCTGAATTGTCTTAGTTAAGTTTTAATTTTCTTGGTGACGCTAGTTTTAAAGTTGTAATTAAGACTTGATGTCGTTCGTTCGAAATTCAATGTAGGACAATATAAATCGAAAATTTATAGTTATAGTAATTAAGCCTATATAAGCAATAAATGTCACTAGATAATCATGTATGGGTTGTTGTATAAAAAGACTAGGAAAAAGACTATCTGCAAGCCATAAAGTATTAACATTTAAAGGTGATAATATTTCATTCAGTAGACCACTATGACATTTTTATACAATAGTTGTAAAATGAATCCGTTGAGAATCTAAAAGTAATTTCTATCAAAATATTCATTAAACATTATATGTTTTCCAAATTTATAAAAAAGAAATAAGATTAATCAATAATATTGAAATGATTTTCGTATATGTAATTAATGCATTTAAAATATTTTGACAAGGAAATGCTGTGTTACACATCACCTTTCCTTATACAATGCGTGTCCTCAGTAAAAGTCGTATTTCATAATGGAAACAATAAAAAGAAACATACACAATCATTCAAACAAATCGGACTTCTTCAATTATAAAAACAAACATACATAGTTGATCATACTCGCTAAGTAATTTTTTCTCGGAAGTCGTTTACTTGAATCGTCAATTTGAATAGCACTAAGCCAGTTATCTTCCTATTTTCATTTTTTTAATATTTTTATATTTATATGTAAGTCAAATATTATATTCATAATAATAATTATTCATAATATAGAGTAATATTTTTATGTGCACATTTATATAGAAAATCATTGTGAATTTGAAAAATTGAAAAACAAGAGGGCCAAGATGGCCCTAGATCGCTCACCTGACCCATCGAACTCATCCGAACAATTACCTGGACAAGCATTCCGACCAAGTTTCATGACAGGTGAGTCAAAATGTGACCACTAGAGTGTTAACAAGGATTATCCATATTTGGCCGGTGTGACCTAGTTTTTCATCCGAGATGACCCATGTTCAAACTTGACCCAGAAATCATCCACACAAACTTCCAGACTAATTTCTAGGATATTTGGATCAAAACAGTTTTCACAAGAATGTTAACAAGATTTTTCTATTTTTAGCTCCTGTGACCTAGATTTTCATCCGAGATGACCCACGTTCGAACTCTTCGAGCAGTTACCGAGACAAGCATCCTGACCAAGTTTGATGACAATTGATTAAAAAATGTGACCTCTAGAGTGTTAACAAGGTTTTTCTATTTTTAGCTCCTGTGACCTAGTTTTTCATCCGAGATAACCCATGTTGAAACTCATCCGAGCAATTACGAAGACAAACATCTTGACCAAGTTTATGATAATTGAATCAAAAATGTGACAACTAGAATGTTAACAAGGTTTTTCTATTTTTAGCTCCCGTGTCCTAGTTTTTCATCTGAAATGACCCATGTTCGAACTCATCCGAGCTATTACCTAGACAAGCATCCTGACAAAGTTTGATGATGATTGAGGCAAAAATGTGACCGCTAGAGTGTTAACGAACATGTGTGGACGGACGACGGACATTCAACGATCCTAAAAGCTCACCCTGAGCTAGCTCAGGTGAGCTAAAAAAGAAAGTAACATGGTATTCTTTTAATGATAATCAAAACATAAGTTATTATGTTACAATTTAATCATCTTTTACGTGAAATTTAACATAAGATATAGAAAATATGTCTTTTACAATCTTGTAGAAATAAATATGTTACATTCGCGACAACAATAACGCAAACAAGTTTTCATTATTATATCATGGTCGGAGCGATTTGAATCATTGTCTGAATTCATAAATGGTACAACAACAAATACGACCACACTGACATGTTGAATAATTTTAGTTTGACCTTAATCTGTGAATGACCTTGACTTTATATCTCAAATATGAATTTTGAATTATATGTTGTACAAGAAAATTATGTTGTCAAACGGAATTCTTTACTACAATATTTTCCTTCTATGTGTTTGACTTAAGAAGTAAGAAAAAAGCGAGCATTGTTCCCACTTGGAGGAGACTTTTGTTTTGAGCGACATTATTTTTTATTGCACATTTTTTAAGATTATTTTCGAAAGAACTTAGATATTTGTTATAGATACTGCTACGGAAGGCATATGTGCAAACTGTTAAACGAAGTATATTTGTTTGTGCAAAAAAACATCAATCTAGATATATATAGACGAAAACAGTCATTAACAATGTACATAATTATTAATTATAATAATATTCACAATTCAAAAGATATGGCAACAAGTAGTTTTCTTAATATTGCTAATTGTATTTATTTAACTTCTTAAAAGTCCTTAAGGTTTTTATTCCTTTCTACATTTTTATTTATAAAGTGCTTAATATTTTATCAGAATAAGTTCAAAACCTTTTCATTACAGATATTACTTTATTAGTGCATAATTTCTTCCTTTTCAACAATATATTTTTTCAGCATTGAATTTCATCAAGTTCCAGTAAACTTATTAGAACCATTCAAAAATAAACAATCATCAGAAAAAGTTTTTGATGAATACAACATAGTGTATAATGCTTTGTGTAGTCTGTCAATCGGAACCCCTCGTGTGAAATTTGTCGGAAAGAACCGAGATGATGCGATTGATAGTCTCTATGCTCATAATTATTTGAAGTCATCTATTAAATTACATGAACATCTTAAATTTAAAAAAATGAATTAGACTTATAGCATATAAAACGACTGCAAAAAAACACCGAACATATAATTGAATTTAATATTTATCTGATCATTAGCTATATTTTTGCAGTAAAGTGTTAAAACATTCCATTTTTTTTTCACAAGACAAAATATTTTCAGTTACACATATCTTCCTCATTTCACAAACGGTAATTTGATCTGATTTCAACGAGACAACACTGAAACGCTCTAAATATCACAAAGCTTTTTTTCCTTATTGACAAATCAATCAGTTATTTTTAAAGTATAAACCATTATTTTGTCACTTTTATGACAATAGACAAGAAGCCTCGACCTTTTGTAATCGAAACACAAACCCCTAGGATTTTGTAATCCATTATTTCTTGCCAATAGTTCTATTTGATCCTTTTCGTCACATGACATCAAAAGAACATTGTGTGATAGATAAAAAGCAACACAGAACTGACTCTTGTTTATCTTACAGATACCTTCAGCATCAGAGAATACTTTGTTATCTACATTAATGTTTGTCATGCCTCCCGTTTCGTCTATGAGAAGGATACCTTTATACCTGTCAGTCACAAACATCTTCACTGAAGAGCGTAGAAATGCTAGACGTAAAGGATATTTAATCTCACCATAGTATGATTTAAGCAATGTTCCTGTAAATGAATATACCTCAAGATGACCAACACTTTCTTTAAAAGTCTTTGATCCGCCACAACAAACATAGATCAGCCCGTCACTGTAAGCAATATCCCGACATCTATCACCGACTTCGAACGACTGTTGTAACTCCATTGTATCTTTTTGAGAGATAAACTGAACTTTTCTATCATTAATAAGAGTAACGGCAAGCAATGATGTTCCCACTTGGCAAATGCCAACAGGATTGTCAGTGACATTCAGCGAATATACGACCTGGAATGATTCATTAATCTTCTTGATCCTCTTATTGCTGTAATCACTCAGTACAATACAACCGTCTTCGCACATGCACATGTCAGTTATCCGACACGACTCCTTGTCATCTTCTATCCGTACATTAAATTCACCAAAACTGTTGTCTACTTCAATGGCTGGAAGATGAAGTATGCTTCCGATAGCATTGCATTCCGAATCAGTCTCATGCCGGTATGGATCAAACCGTAATGTGCCTGTTTTGCTTGGCCTTTCAAAGTCTTTTAAACAATCCATTGAATTATTATATTTCTTCTTGATACGTTTCACCTGTACATATTTCTCTGATTCGTTTTCATGTTTAGCAAAATTTATCTTCTGAAGACTTTCTTGTAGTGCAGCGATCCGCGCATCAACTTCTTTCATGTTTGCCTCTATATGTTTCAGTTTGGTCTGGAAGGTTGCATCCACTTCTTGAAGAAGTTCCATTTCCATCTTGTCTAAGCGGTCGTTGATATTCTTCCTTTCTGATTTTATTTCTTTAATCAATTGACTTTTTTCTTTTCTTGCATTATCCAGTTCCTTCACTTTCTTTTGTTTTAACGCCATGAAGCGGGATTTAAGTGTGTTTATTTCGGTTTCGAGGAGCTTCATTGCCTGAATGGTATCAGTCTTACACGCTAAGTCTGGTATGAAGGTAATGTCTGTACAGCTTCTGTAATGATATAAACCTCAGATACAGTCGTTTTAACAGTTATTCATACATTTGATTTTATGCCTATAATTACTTTGTATAGTCTACAATTTAATGTTTACAGGTGTAAAAATGATATTAATCGGTCAGATTTAAATTATATCACTCACTGTATCACCTTCTGCGACCGAAATAGCTTTACCATTTGTTGTTGGTATGTGCATTACCACAAACTTTAAAGATTCAAACAAAACGAGTTTGTAAATGATATGTAATTTTATTGTGATAATTTCTTAAGAATGATAACACTTTATCAATATTTTGATTACAGTAATTTTCAAATTGATACTCTTTATTGAAATACATTATTATCATTTCACTTAAGTTGTAAAAATGTTGCACCACTATGATCACTTGGTGTAATTATATGTGTGCACCGGACGCCCCGCTGTTGACGGCGTGACGTCAGCTTAACTGCTTTTTTCCCGCGCTTCAATGAGATCATCAATAGCTGTTGATTGTTAGTAAATCAGCATTAAAAATATGTAGTTGTTTTTGTTCTGTTTTTTTGTGTGTGTGTGATTATGTAATGTTACCACACAACCGAATCATCTCTGCAATTATTAATAAAACCTTGGACTAAATACGGACTGAAATGAACTCTACCACGTGATTTTAAATGTAAATTATCACAGCTTGTAGTTTTCAATAATGTATAACAAATGTATATGTTTGACATCCGAAGGAAAATAAAGTCTATTTCGATAAACTTATAATTGCAAATATGTCTTACAACCATAATCAATTTAAAAATGTCCACTGATGTAGAATCATGAACAAATACAAATTGATGCCAATCGGTAGACATATTGTACTTTGGTTTCAACAACCACAATTTATTTATAAGTATATGAATAACGTACAGGTTAATTGTATATGTGTTTACTTAATTTAGGTTTTACTCGATATATTGGAATAAACGTCGTCAACAACTCCCAGCAATAAAAAAACTAAGTGTGTACATGTTAAATGATTTAGCGTGGGCTATACCAGGTACGTTTATTAATTAATATACGTACCTGGTAATACAGAAATACGGGCATAATTACTTTAAATCTGTGTTCGAGGTCCTTATCCGGACTTTGACGGAAAGGGCCGAGATGTTGCGATTGGTTTCTCACATAAATATATCCACTTTTTCACTCGCGCTGAGATACGATTTCATATCATATTCACTAAAAACACTTGATGTTTTTATACTTCTCTTAAAAAAATATCGCAAATTAAAGAATAAATATATTTGTGTAATGTAATCGTGTTATAGACCTAAATATCCACTTTCGTGTTAAAAATATAATATCATGACATTGCGGATTTGTGTTTGATTGTTTGTTTTAAATTTGTGGATTTCATCCGATTTTAACAATATTTTGTCATATCGGGGCGGTTGATCCATCTCACAAGTTTTTATATAGCTAACCAGTAATTATCAATCTCTCGATCTGCAAATGACTCCCTTATTATCCTACATGATTCTCGAAACAGCGATGTGAGAAAAATGATCATTTAACTGAATACGCCACACTCGATGATCGAACCAATAAGCCATGAATGTTCTCCCTATTGGGCTAAGCAAGCAAACTGTTGATTCGAATAATGTATGTCATAAATTGAACTGATTTGTATCATTAATCATAGATAAATGGTGATACAATAACTGAATTGGTATGGTGTTGTAGTACTCAATCAAATCTGGTAGGACTCAAATCTGGTACAAATGTTTTATCATTACTTCGCGTTTGTCTTATCACATATGTTTCCTTGTACGGCTATTTAAATATCCGTGAAAAAAATGAACTCTCGGAAGTGTAATATTTCAATGTAATCATTTATTATCTCACCATGTAAATAAATCTTGTTTCTGTGCTATGTCTGTAAAGATAAAAGAGATATGAAGGTGAGCAAATTTTAAAATGATCTTGTTTTCCCTCCCACGACCCATATGATTTAGTTTGATTAAAGAAATTATTTTTTCATCCAAAATATTCTTTTTCCATGTATCATAATTTTCATTTATTTATTTATTTGTTTGTTGGTTTTTTATTTATTTGTTTATTTATTTATCTATTATACATGATTTTTATAGAATTAAAATAAGAAAAATTGTAAAGGTTTAGCAACTATTTAAAAGTGAAAACATATTGCTAAAGTTTTATTTAACATGTATACCAGTCTGTATATTTACAATGCTAAAACATGTTACAGATTCTCATTGGCAATTTTTGGCAATAACATATTTTGTGTGGCGGTATTTTTTGTTGGAAGAAAACAAGAGGAGAAAACAAACACTATTTTATTTAGTTCTTTTATTTAACCTCTATTGTACTGAAACCATAAAAAGGAAAGAGATACGTATAGCTTAGCAAGGTTTATTTACCTCGAGTTGAATTGTATTGGTTAAATGAACCAGAATAACCTTATAGATCATTCAACGCATGACTGATAACACAATACAAAAGTTAAAAGATTGAAACTGATCTTGCCTATTATTAAATGACGACCAGGCGGAAAGAAAAAAAACGGATCATACTGTAACACCGAAAAAGTGATACCCACTTATTCAAAGTATTATATAATGTGAACCGTAGAGCCAAAACATCATATAGTGTGTAACCCATAAAATGCCCGCCCCACGCAAATACATCCCTTTTGTTATGGTATAAACTATGCATGCGCTGGAAAAAGACCGGACCAAAAATAATTTTCTGTCATTACTTCATGTACTTGCTAAACATTTCATTATATTTAATTGTGTTTTATAATAAAAGAGTCCGCGCATTATCTCTTTGTTTAACGGATATGCATGTACACAAAATGTTTCCTGAGGATCTTCTATGTTGTAAAGAGAGTTTTTAAAATATTATTACTACGTATATCCATGTTTATGATTTAGAAATGTATTCAAGTGAAAATATACGCAAGGTATTTGCCTGGGGTGGTCATTTTCTAATGGGTTACTCATAAGAATGTGAGGGTGTAATATTAAATTTTGACGCCGTTACAGATAGACTCCATAGGTCATTTTTCAATGGATTTAGATGCATTTTCAACTTTGAAAATTGATCCCTTCCCATTATTTAATGACCCTTTGACGCGTGAAAAAAATGATCCTCGTTGAAAACTGACTAAATATGGACAGGGTATTCTTTATCATTGATAAGTGATCAAAGTAATATTTGCCTATACATGTCTTACACATGAAACAGTTACATAAAAAAATCAGATATTTAAGTGATGAAATATTTATTCAGTTTTAATTAAGTGGTCCAGGAGCTTTTAACAATTTACCAATCCATCGACAAAACTGATAATTAACGGACAGCTATATGGTACTTATGTAGTGAACTATAATATACATTGCATGCAGAATAATGTATGTCACGGTTCAGAATTGTTCATAAATAAGGAGAGATAGTGTGTATAGGGTCCATGGTTTGAGTCCCGGTTAGGCTGTACATTTTCTCATCATGTGATATGTATATTTATATTATCCGCTATCAACGGGGTCGCCTGCTGGTATTTAAGTGATTTCCTTCTACTGTTATTAATGTTTAAAGGATAATAATCATGATATTCTAATTAAAACCCATATATCCCTATTAAAAGGATTTACAACAGCCGTGTTATCTTTTAATCTTGCGTATTATATTTCATTTAGTGCATTTTTTATTGTTCCGGGGAAGTAACCGCTGCGAAAAATGTGGTGTATCAGCATCGTTTACTTCCCCTGATAAGTACAGAAAAGCAAGGTGCGAGGAGGTTGGTTAAGCAGACGTAAAATATTTATTGGTATGAAATTTGAATTAGAAAATAAGACATAAATCAAAGTGCACAAATTTTATGTGATAGATAGAAGCTCGAAATTGTCGACTATGTAAAATATTGAATACATAAATTACTAGTAACTTTAACGATAAAATATCATGATATATATCGAAGAATAGAAAGAATGTACTAGAAAATTTTAATTTTAATGTTCTAGCAATTACTTGCAAATGTCCTATAGGTAGCCTTTTGAATAACAAGATGCCCGTAGCATGGAATTTTCGTACCAGTTATATACTTAAAATGATATATACACAAATAATACCAGTTACACAACATGGTGGACTTAAGTGCAAATAATATTCATCAAATAAGTTTGTGATTTTTTACATAAAAATAGTAAAAATAAAAAGTTTTCTAATTTGTGATAAGTTTCCGACCACATAGATCCATTTGTTGGAAATCATTGTCTTAAACTTTCGTAAAACAGTTCCCTCTCCAGCATACAAATTATATTGCCTTTCTTGACGAAGTACTAATAGTTCGCATGGGCCAAGGCTTAATAATGTTATGCTTGTGTATTTATTTTCATGACGTTTGTGAGAGATTCCGTTTCTTACTTTAACTAAAATTTAACTAACCTTTAAAAATAACTCTAATGTTGAGTTGATTGTAGGGTCCGTTCTCAACGTTGAAAAATGACTAAGGTTCAGTTCAATGACCCATGGGGTCTATTTGCAATGGGGTCAAAATAATGTTACATGGTCTCTACTGCGTATTTTATCCAATAAATTATTATGAAGTATTTAAAGAAGAAACAACTATGATTTAAAATGGTATGAATCACTGACCAGAATAAGTTTATATTTCTCCCCCCATCAATTATGATTAATTTCAACTTAATTTTAAATGATACATCACCATGGAGACAACATTTGTTTGTTATTGAAACCGAAAGTAGAGTTAAATTTCCTACCTGTGTTCAACGGTCATACAAGTTGAGCAGCCAACCTTATCATGACCAGGGCAGTAGACATCTATCAATTTTCCTCCATGTTTTTCACATTTTTGACTTGGTAATTCTTGCTTGTTCCCGCTCGGTTGTTTCACCGTGTCTAGTAACTGATGACCTCTCATTGCTGAAAACTTATTGTGATCACCAACACATTTTTGACAAAGATTTTCGTCACATTCCACACAGTGTTTGATAGCGGCTACATTCTTCCCTTCTTTAGTGCACGGTAAACACGGAAAATCATGTTCTATGTCCGAACCATGATACAAATTTTGGTTAAATTTACGCCCGTCTACGGCCATTTTTAAATTAAGTTTAATCACTTCCTTGTTTGAGTTGCTATGTAAATAAACGCATGATCGATATTCATATACATTTTACCGTACGGTTTTAATAAGTTTATGTTATTCAGGGTAGTGCAGTTTTGTTTCTTATAATTTACTCATCTGTAAAGGGAAGTATGCACTTGGTTACATTCATACAAGAGCAAAATATTACTAGATTTGGTATCAAAATTTGCAAAGTGTGTTAACCATAAA